TCCCGTACAGGCCTGAAATTTTTTTCAGGTCTGATTTTCACTATTGCTCAAATAGTGCTTTACTGCGAAGGATCGTTCTCATATACGTCTCATAACCGCAGTTCACACATATGTTTCATATGTTTGTTGTTGTTTGATTTATCATCTACGGGTTTATATCGAATTAATTTGATGGCCTGCTCCCAGTTGGCTTGTTAGCTCAATTGGTAGAGCGCTGCACTAGTATCGCAGAGGTCAGTGGTTCGAGTCCCGTACAGGCCTGAAATTTTTTTCAGGTCTGATTTTCACTATTGCTCAAATAGTGCTTTACTGCGAAGGATCGTTCTCATATACAATTAAATTTATGTTAAAGTTGTTTCTTGTTCTTATTTCCTCAGCAAGCGGAGGATGATGAAATGGTCGAGTTACCTGATCCCGACTTAGAACCTGGCATTCTGCCTACTGAGATCAGGAAATTGGTGGAACGAAGGAAACAGGTTTGTTCCCATCTCAGGTTGGTTGGTGACTGAAAGAACGTGCGCTTGCGCATGCAAAGTTTCACACAAGGTAACTTAACTGCTTACCATAAGCATTCACTTTTCTCACAAGGTCAAAGGAATGATGAAAACTTGTGCTCGGGATTCAGATCAGTATCTCCAGGTCAGTATTGTAGTAATCCGGGCCTTGCAGAGATTTCGCTTTACTTCCTGTCTTTCTCTGTGATTAGTCTTAAACCTCAGGGTGTTTTACATAAAGTCAGCCACCTTTTCGGGTAGTTGAGCAGTTATCGCAACTCGAAAAAACCTTCAGTCCTCGTACGATTTTACTTTCAAGAGCATGGTGTGAGGATTTTAAAAGGTGTCTTTTTCTAACATAATTCAGTGTTTTATCCTTTCTTTTTTTCTTAGTATGATATCAGACAAAAGGCGTTAAAGCTCACTGCAAACAGGTATGTTTATCTGACTCCTCCGCGGTCGCTTCATCCAGGGAAGCACAGCGGCCAAACTGCGTTTGGCATGCTTAAGTGGATCAATACTTTCCGGCAGCGCATCAATTTCCCGCGTAAAATTTAACAAGAAAACATAAGAAACAAACACTTACGCCAAATACGCAAACAGTGGAATTGTTCGTAGAAATCTGAATAGGAAGCAAAAGTTGGGAATATGAAAATTGGAAACTTTTCGAGTACAAAGTTTATTTACTTACGGGTATCGTATTGATATCTATTTTGTTTCGAGCTGTAGCAAAAATGTTCTACGCTTTTAATTAACACTTCGTCGGTTCGCCTCTGAGTACACGTAATCGTTCAATGTTCGGACATGCGCAGACGTCTGACCGCTGTGTTTCTTGTGGAAGAAATGTGGCGTGCTCATAATTCACGTAATAGTCACGCATTTCCGTGACATCGACATTTCACTGAGCTTGTCGCTTTATGTGTGTTTGAAATATCTCATTAGTAATTCGATGCTTTTCTTATTTTCTTTCTATTGTAGCATGTATGGCTGCTTAGGATTCTCTCATTCACGCTTTTATGCCAAGCCACTGGCTGCCCTCGTTACAAGCAAGGGAAGAGAGGTGAGCAGTTTGACAATATGGCAGTGCGGTAGCGTGACGGGGCAATACCATGGTACGACAACAGCGTAACTGTGCGATAGCATGATAGCGTGACGGGGCAATAGCATGGTATGACAACAGCGTAACTGTACAGTAGTACGGTAGCGTGATAGCGCGATAGTATGGCGATAACACGGCAACGTGGCAGTTTTCCACCTGTTCCGATTTTCAATTTTCCTTCTCCTGGAAATATCTCTAAAAGATCTTATTGTAACCTTATCGTCAGTTTTCCAAAGCTGTTGCATTCGGTGATAACAATCTTTTCGGCTGCAAACCGCAAGCGCAGGCGCTTTTTTGACGAGGACTTTTCTTTCTAAACTAACTCGTTTTCTCGTAATGGGAAGAAATATCCAGTTGCATTTCGGATACCAGTCAGCGCACTTCGGATATAACCGACTATCATTATCGCATTATTTCCCGAACAAAGATGCTGCGTCCGAATTTCCAGATCACAAAATCATATTCACTGGAATTGTTTATATGATTTCATTTTCACGCCGTTTCTTTGTAGAATTATTTAAAAGAGTATGATGTGAAGTCTAGATAGTTAAACCATAATTCAGAAAAAAAAAATAAGGATAAAGCCTTTTATTGAAGTTTCATTTTCCCAATAAACCCACAATGACATTTTTGGCTTCGATTTTCTTTGTTTGTCGAAATAAAATTCAAGAAGTGTTTATCATTACTTATTTATCAGGTTGGTGTGGTCATTTCTGTGAAAATCGCAACAGCTGTTTTAAGTTCATCAACTAAACATTGTGGTTGACAATTAAATTCCAAAAAAAAAAAGTTTTACTCATCACGGGTGTATTTCCAAATTATTTTGCACCTTTGCTTTACTAACTTTTATCAGACAATTCGAAATCGAAATTTCTATAGTTCTTAACTTGCTAATTTTGAGCTAAGTTTTTTTTTCTAATTTGTTAGGCAATTGACACTGAAGTAAGGAAATTTTTTGTAGCTTTTATTGAAAGTTCTTACTAACATTAAGGATATGTTTTTATTATTATTATTACTATTATTCTTTTTTTTTTTTTTTGGTCCGCGTCAGTGAATTTGGCGCACTAGTACCTCGTCAATAAGGACAACTTTATTTATCATAGACATAACCCGTCATGCAGTTTCTTGCAAACATTGATGTTCTGTCGCTGTTATTAATGTTTAATTCATCTTTGTGATCTGTATTTTAATCTTGACCCGTTCGAACTAATTTTTCAACTGAATAGAAATATGAAATACTTGAAAAAGTTTAAGAATCAGTTTGATTAAACTTTCTTACCTTCAAACCCTCGTCAAAATTAAGCATTTTTTTTCCAATGTATGTAAAGTTTTGATGGCCTTTTTAAGTTTCTACAGGAGAACTCGGCTTCGTTACGGCCGAATTTCTACATGAAATCCGACTCGCCAAAAATTTGAATAAACTCGTCGAAATCTACTCTCCCGTCTCCTTTCGTGTCCGCCATTTTGATCATTAAATCTATGTCAGACTCCGTATGATCAATATTGAGCCTACGAAGAACTCTTTTTATTCCTTGAGCTTCGATGTAGCCTTTCTTCTCTACGTCAAATTCTTGAAATACTCTTTTCAAACGTCGCTCTCGCTTTGTCTCGCGGAGAATCTGTTGTGAGAGTTGCTGGAATTTCTCATAAGAAACCGTCGTGTTTGGTCGGTTATTCAAACCTGTAGAATGAATCAGGAATTGTCTTGAAATGGAAAATAGACAACAAAGTGCCGTAGAAGTGTTTCCTGTTTCATTCATACAATGTTTTGATACATGGCACTAATTCACAACGTTTCTTTAAACACAAACTTTCAAGGCGCCAATTCCCAAGTTATTCTTACATTCCGCGAAGGACATAGAATAATTTTTGTTCACTTTTTGCCGAAAAATAAAAAGATTTCGAAGAGGAAAACTGACATGCGAATAAAAAGTGTAATTTCTAAAGAAACACTGTCTAATTTATTCATCATCATAATTTCTAATTTCTCTTAGCATATGGGCTTCCTACGAGTCATTCAGAACGTGCAGTACTGCAATTTTTGCTGTTTTTAATACGATTTGCAATGGAAGCTTCAAGTCATGAGATGCACTCAACTCTAAGAGTTTTGCAGTCGCGCATTACTTTGAACATGGATATTTAATATACCTGTGTTTCGAATATACTCCTTCAATTCCTCGTCGCTTATTTCTTCGCCCAGTTCCTTGAAGACGTTAGTGAGGTCCTTTACACATATAAAACCGTCCGAATCTTTGTCGTAATTGCGAAAGATGACCCTCATATTAACTTGTTTTTGATGAGAAATGCCCGCCATTTTGAAATTCTCAAGCTGGATCGCAAGCCAAGATTTTTTCGTGAAAGTAATGACTCGTGGTCGTTCACATAACCAAAGTTTTTTTTCTTCCACAAGGTTAGTTTAGCTCGCAAAGCAAAGTTTTACGCTTTCAACGAGCTAGACATTGTGTTGAAGAGCTATACTATTGTTATGAAGACAAAGCGTGGCTTCGGTCAACTTATTTTCGTGTAGTCTTACTAAAGGAGATAATTACTCGCCGCTCTAAGGAGGTCTAACAGTGATGATTTTGTCTTTCATCATTAAGTTCCTTTTGTTAAAAGAGCTCATAAAAATTAAATCAAGGCTGTGAGCCAGAAAGAGCTTGTGGTAAAACAAAAGATAATTAGTTCTAACAGAGTCACGTAGACCGATATCAGATACTCCATGTCTTGCGCAAATTGTCCCGACTTCACCTTAATATGTTGACAAAGTGAATTGCATTTTTATCAAAAGGCAATTTATCAGCTCAAAAAAGGGTAATTTCTTTATGTAAAGAATTTTTTTTGTCCCTCAGCACTCTTTAAACCGATGGCTTATTTTTTTGTTTAAACGTCAGAACCCCTGTTTATCTCTATATTCCCATTTTCAACCTGAAAGTCTACCCACTCCATAATTCTATGATGCGATATGGTTGGTCCTGCGCGGAAAAACCATTCAATTTTAAAAGCTTTAAAATTCCAACCTTGCTGCTCGAAAAAAGAACATAAAAATAAAGTTTCTTGTCCATGAAAGTATTTGGCTCTGGTTGTCAGAGGTAAGACCTGTATTTTAAAAAGGCGAAAAAGTCGGAAATGTTTTTTCGTTGGAAACCCGATACCGGTATTTCTGTCTCACGAAATGCCCTCAAAGACAACTTCAAATTTTAGTATGTTTTATTTACTTGATATTTATTGTCATCTGACATTTCAAACTACGTTATTCATATCAAGTGTTTTTGTAGTGATAGCAATTCTAAGTACAGATTGAAGCGCAAATTATTCTGAAAGATGACACATAACTCTTGCACACATCAAACCTGTCACAGGTTAATGTCAGGTAAAATGACAAAAATGTTCAAAATATTTATTTTAGTATTAAAAAAGCAGTTTAGAAGCTGGTCTGTTCCCTTTATGAGCCAATTTTAAATGAGATGTCTCTTTTTTGTCCACTCTCCAATATTTAGGGTGATGTGTGAAATGTCAAAGGAAAACTTGAATTCGGTTAGGCAAAAAACAGCTTGTTGGCTTTGACAAGCTAGCGGGGTTCTGGCCGTTTCGTGGGAAAACTCCGCGCCGTGCTTGCTAAATTGCCGCATTCTCACTGGCTCCCAGAAGTCTTGAAGAGTGAGTGGGACAATTTAGGATGACTCTACGTGGGAGTTTTATCAACAGCTGTTTATTTTACGGGAAAATACAAGGAAGTTTTTGCCTTTTAGCATTGGCCGAACAAATGTCAGTTTAAACAAATGAAAAGAATAGGTTTTAGCTTTATGGCCCAAAATGAAAATACCCGGAAGCTTTTTTGTCATCTTGAGTACTAAAAAAAAAACCCCGCACTTGTGCCAGTTAAGTGAAGCAATTTACTGTCGAGTTTCAAAAGTATCTGGGATTGCTTAGTTTTAGCTAACTTCGCTCTGATTGGTTGAGAAAACAGAGTCAATCTCTGAAGAAGAGATTTTAGTGTCTAACCTCAACTTTCTCCGAGTTTTACACTTTTCTCACGACATTGATTTTAAAAAATCGGGTCGAGATCGATGTAAGATATTAGTGAAGATTGTTTGTCATTTTCCCCACTCGCCTTCGTAGCAATCTACCGGGTTTCTTAGGAGAAATCATCTCTGATCACACGAAACTAAAAACCCTTCAGTCAGACATTCATCATCTTCATAAAATCGTCGTAGCCTACGAGTCCATCACCATCGACGTCAGCGGCTTTTATCATAGCCTCGATTTCGTAATCTTTAAAGTCCTGACCGAGAAGCTTGAAGACTCGGTCGAGTTCAGAGACTCCAATAAAACCGCTGCCATCTCGGTCGAAAACCTTGAAGGACTCTTTTAGAATGTCTTCAGGATCGCAATCATCTAAGTTTTTTGACATCAGCGCGAGGAATTCGGGGAAGTCGATCGCACCATTTCCGTCTGCATCTAAAAAAAAAAAGAAAAAACTTAACTTACTTTTGTTCACCAACTGATTAGCTTTTTGCATCTTGGGGCCACATTTTCCTTCCCACCCACCCCATTCAACCTTTTCCTGGGAGACTTCCCCCCTCCCTCGATCGTCCCTATTGGTTGTCATCTCATTTATCTGTTTCATCACGTCTACAAGTTTACCCTACCTCCCCACCCCCCTCGGATACATCCACTTTGGTCATCACTACACCCATTTGGTTTCCTTCGCTCCCTCATACCCGACACTCACAATATGTGCAAAAAGTGCTCGACCTTACACCTCCCTTCCAGCCCCCCAGAGGGGTATCCCTGGGATTCTCCCGCTTGATAGTCATCTCACCCCCACTCATACCCCGGCTATTCCTGGCGTGCCGCCCACACTAATTGTCATTTCATCAGCTAAATTTCAAGGCCGTGAGTCTAACCGAGTGCTGTAGAACTAAAACCAAATCACATCATCCAATCAAAGTGAAAAAAGGTATTCTTGAAAGTGGCCAATGAAGTGATAGCTTGATATCAAAACAAGCAAACGTGAAGCGCGGGAATACGCGGGAGAACTTCGTCGCATCTGATTGGCGCAAGTTTCTTCGACCAATCACAGTGCAGGGGGGCCTCTTCCCCTGGGATATTTCATTCTCACCTATTTGGTTCATCATATCCATGAGTTCCGCCTCTGTTATGTTGTACCCGAGGGAGGTTACCAATTTCTTAAGTTCAGTTGCTGTGATACAACCATCGCCATTGGTGTCAAACACATGAAAAGCTTCCTTGACCTCACGAATTTGATCCTGAGTCAGTTTTGACGATTTTAAGGCCTCCTCTTCCTTTTTAGACACATTTTTGACATCATTATTGTTTTGTTTAGCTGATAAACGCTTGTCTTTGTCCGGAGGTTCATTCAAGTCCGCATTATCTTCGTCATCGGCGAAGATGTATTCGTCGTCAGAAATCGAATACCGATCACTTCCCGATTCGTCCTCGCTCAAAGCCGAAGATTTAGTAGTTTTAAGTGACACGAGCCGGTTCAACAACTCGCCGTTCTCAGTGCTACCGCTTGGACTTTTTCCCTCGCTCGTCCTTGCATCAACTGAAAGTGCAGCACTCTCTGTAAAGAAAACAAAATGAAAAGATATAAAAAATCTTTTTGTAGCTTCTCGACTCAAAACTGATGCGGTTTTTTCGTTTCCCTTCAACATAGTGGGACTTAGCAAGTTCATAGAGCCAAAAGTAGCCAAAAAGAATGGGTTGGAGAGAAGTGTCTTAATTTTTTCCCGCTGCGTGATTCCGCGCGACTGTCGTTCATTTTATAAATGTCATGCTTGATTGCCTTGCAGGCTACAACACATGCAACTTGTGAATTCATTGTCAAATCTTGTTAAAGCTTTTATATCACTGGTAGATCGTGTTGAAATCTTGTCCCAATAGTAAAAATTTTACCAAAACCAGATACCTTCGCACTTGGAACAAACGGAGTTTCAATCTCCATTGAATTGAGTGAGTCTATACATAGTATCAAACTTTACAATTTAAACAAAAGCATAGCAATTAAGTGTTTTGACTTAGGGGAATTGATACCATCAGATGCGATGCGCTGCAAATGATCTGAAAACTCTCAGTTATGTGAAATACATAGTTTGTTAGTTTTCGGTTGTTGAATCGACTGAAAATTACCGAAAACGCCAATCTGTCTTGAGTCTAACGAACTTAAAAGTTTGTTTCCAAAGACACAGATCTTGAAATCTGTCCAAGCGTAACTAATGGCGTGTTGATCAATGTTCAGAGTTTAGCTATAACATAGTAAGTTTGGTTTTTTTTTTCTATTTAATTTTTTTGTTTCCTTTTGCGTCTGTCATCGGCTTGAGGAGTTAGAATTTCCACTGTTGATACACAATACTCTTATAAAGTACGAAAACTTTTAAGACAGTAGCTTTCTGTTCATAAAAGCGCGAAGTTAAGTGTAGTAACTCTTAAATGCGCATTTTATTTTTATACATTTCTGATGTTATAAATGTCCATCCCTGCATAGCAACAAAACAAATACAGCTTGGTAATCTTTTGATGTTAGTGTTGTTAGGTTTTGAGCCGGAGAAAATCGTTCTCTCTGGACAATTTAAAGTCGTTTCTATGATTGGGCGTTCTTGATTTATGGCGAGTTTAAATTTAGTGTTTGTTTATTTTCAACGCATGCTGTGATCTAAATTGGCTTACCGGCCCTTTCCGCCCCTCTCGCTGTGTTCTTTTCGTCTTCGGGCTCTTCCGCGATCGACGTATAACGGCGACGTAACATCGTAGCTTGGAAGTGCTTCAAAACGAGACAAAATCTTCCTCTTTCCGTAGACTCTACATTTGACTTTTGCTCCTTTTCAAGTATTTTGTTTATCTCGTGGTCATCTTTACACGTCTTCGCTACGTGGTTTTAAAAGCGCGTTATACGTTCTAATCCTGGTCCCCTCTTTCGTTCTCGTTTGGCTAAATTTAGTAATTTGCGTGTATTGGCTTAATATTTAATCCTCGTGTTATTAGCGTTCAAAGTGCCGCCAATATATGCGTGGACGGCGCAAGTACAGTGTAATTATAAGCGATAAGACTCATCTAAATTCCACTATTGTCACGTTTGACTTTCATTCTGTATTATTTTGATTAGATTACGCAAAAAGGAAGAAATCATCCTAATACCGAAGTTTTCAAACAACTTATTGTTACAATAATGGAGGATCTTTTAGTAATTATTGAATTTAGAATATTTCATGGTTTAATCGATCTTAGATGTTTCATGATCTTTTCAGATGCAAATTAAGAGGCAGTCGATCTTTCTAACTGTAAATAGTCTTTGTTTGGGATGACAGCACGATCTTAGAACCTGACATGATATCTCGAAACAAAAGGCGTTGTGGAAGTTTAATCCATTCAAAGCGTCTGGCTTTCTTTGTATGTTTTTTGCTTTGTTTGAGTTGCTAGGCATGTAATTACATGAACAAAGGGGTAAGTTTCTAAAGAAACTGTGGTGCTGCATCGGTGGGGGGTAACAAGGTAATTTGGCCTTATCAACTAAAAGTTAAAATTTTAAAGTGGCCACCGTAAAGAGTTAAAGAAACTGACGTTTCGAGCGTTAGCTCTATGTTGCGTGATATGTCTGCGGAAGGGCGTGAAACAGTTTGTTTTTAGGGAACGAAAATTTAACCTCACAACCCTCTACACGTTATCGAACCTTCACCGAGAATTTCACCGAGTGTTTTTCGATTTTATTATGGAATCAGACCAGAGGAAACAGCTCGAGAAGTCGTCGTGTCGACGACAGTTTTGTCCGATCGAAGTTACGTCTCAGTGATATGGCCTCATTTGCAACTTCGCTGACCTTTATCAGAACTCGCAGGCTCGTTGAACGTCAGGGAAAGTCTTTCCAATATCCTCTTACTCCCTAGATGCAGATATCGATTCTCCTCACTGTCTTACAAACATTTCTTGTAATTTTAAGATTTGAGAAATTCGTGTTCAATGAAACAATATTTATCCTCCTCGTCTCCTTTTTGCTCTAAAATGTATTTTAAAATGATATAGGGGAGAATTACTTGCAGGTCACTCCCACGTTAAGCTCTCGTCTTAAACCTTCACATCCAATTATTAGTATGTTTATTCTCCATACTGTTCTTTACACAGCTCCTCAGGTGCTTACAAGGAGATTATGGAGACGGCGTGGCCGAGTGGTTAGGGTGCTGGACTTCAAAGCCGGTGTCCCGGGTTCAAGTCCTCCACCCTGCCACTCACTGGATTTGTTCTCGGTTGCCCCGAGTTCAACTCCTCGGCTGCGCTCTGTAAATGGTCCATTGGTCGCCTCCTGCCAGTAGGGATTTTTAAGCACTTAGTTTAAAAAAAAAAAAAGAAAGAAAAAGAAAAAAAACTACATTGTGACTGAAAAGCCCCTATGGCAATATGGGAGAGCCTCGATTAACGTATATTATTATTATAATGATAAAAGCGCTTCTTTAGTAGGTGATGATCGTACCCTTTATTTTCGTGGCCTTACATTTTCGATTCAGGGCTGGCAGTGAACGGAGAAATTGGATGCTATTCATATACTGTGAGGGTCAAGAGATTAAGGAAGAAATCTTCTTTGCTTAAATTTTCATTTCTTCTGTTCCTCTTTCAGATTTTGCTTAAAACTAAGGATCTGGTTCAAAATGTAAGCAATATTGGCGCAGAAATGTGGTGTAACAGCATTTCAAACCTTATTTGTGAGCTGTCATTGTTGTATGTTTGTTAGAGACTGATATGAATGATTTCACGACAAGTAAACGCACCTGCTGCTGGCATAGTGAAAGAAAAATTTGGTTTAAAATGTCGAGAAATTGTGGAACAATTCATATTGCTTGAAAGTCGTTGGTAATAAGCCACCAAGCAAGAAAAAGAGATCCCAGAATTTCGTGCAAAGCACGAACTGTTTATACGAGGGTGATGTGAATGATACATGCGATTTTGCAATGAATTTAACTGTCCCCCACAAAAAGGTCTACGTTTTTCTCTGTTGTAAGCAGCTTCGTAAGTTGAAAGTCTCGCAGACACTCAGAAGAGTAGAAAATTAAATATTACTGATTTGCTTTTTTTCCTATTCTGTCAGTTGGGTCTCGATGTGATTTACGGAGACACAGACTCGATCATGATCAATACAAATACTACAGATCTGGCTGAAGTGCGCAAGATTGGAAACAAGGTTTGCGATTTACGTGTAATATCTATAGACAATACCAATGCATTATCTTGTAAACAGCTAATGAGAACTTACAAACTTCTCAACTTGCAAGGGAGACTGTCACGAGAGAAGCAGGCAACACAGTGCGTAGTTTTTTGTGAAAACACAGGAACTAGTTTGTTGTGAAAACTTTTATCAACCGATGTTTTATTGTAAACTTTCGTTTTCCTATAAGGTGAAAAATGAGGTCAACAAGCTTTACCGGTTATTGGAGATTGACATTGATGGTATATTTAAGTCCATGCTGTTACTAAAGAAGAAAAAGTGAGTAATGAGACAAAATCAGTTCTTTAAGTGAAACATGTACAGTTCACCCGTGCTCTCCCCAGTCTGTTTGTCTGTCTGTCGGTCCTTTCGTTTGTCTTTGTGTTCTTTTCTCTGTCAGCCCGTGCGTTCGTCTGGTTATCTGTCCGTCCGTCCATTTGTATATCTGAATGTCTGTTTGTCGGTCTGTCTTTCTGTCTGTTGGTCTGTCTGTGTTTCCGTCTATTGTTCTCTGTCTGTCTGTTTGATTGTTCGTCTTTCTGTCTCTCCGTCTGTCTGCCTGTCCTCTGTCTACCTGAAGGTCCATCTGTCTGCCTGTCCTCTGTCTACCTGAAGGTCCGTCTGTCTGCCTGTCCTCTGTCTACCTGAAGGTCCGTCTGTCTACCTGAAGGTCCGTTTGTCTGCCTGAGGGTCCGTCTGTCTGCCTGTCCTCTGTCTACCTGAAAGTCCGTCTGTCTGGCTGTCCTCTGTCTACCTGAAGGTCCGTCTGTCTGCCTGTCTTCTGTCTACCTGAAGGTCGGTCTGTCTGTCTGTCTGTCTGTTCGTCCCTCTATCTGTACGTCCGTCTGTCTGTATATCGGTCTGTCTCTCTCTGCCATATACGAGCCTCTAAAGTATAGATTGATGTATCCAAGTAGGTAGGGGCATCGAGCACTTTGGGAAGAAATTGAACAACTGTGTTTCACTTTAAGCTCTGATTCCTATGTTCTCTCTCTAAAGGTACGCTGCCATCAGTGTTTCAGAGAATGAGGATGGTAAGACGGGTTTTTAGTGATAAAATGTTTTTTAGATCCTAGACGGACAATTTTTTGAACTGTCCACCACAAAATTGCGGACTACAAAAAATGCAAGAAATGTTGTATGGTCAAGAGTTCGACTTTAAAATGGTTGCTTTGGACGGGCCCTGGCACCCAACCCACCTAAATTATTACCCCTAGAATATTTGAATAAGGTCATGTCAAGAGTTTGATACTTTCGCGATGGGTAATGTCATTCGGCCAACTTCTGCTGAGAGAGTGGGCAGGCAAATTGTGGTTATGCCAACATCGTATTAAATTTCCACTCAAACGACACGACTTCGCAAAATTATTCTTTTAGGAACGTTAAACGAAGTCAAGGAAATGAAAGGTTTGGACATTGTGCGAAGGGACTGGTGCGATCTCGCCAAGGATTCTGGCAAGTGAGTAACTCCATGGTCGGTAAATGAACGAGCTAACAATTTGATAACAGAGTGATAACAATAACGAAACGTTTCGCTGTGTTTTGCTTACAGCTACGTTCTGGCTCAGATCTTGTCATCGCAACCCCGTGAAACGATTGTGGAGAATATTCACGACTATCTTATATCAGGTACCATATGACCACTGGTTAAGAAAACTCAATTCAGTTCAGTCACAGTTGAAGAATGTAATTAATTTTGATTTTATTTTAATACTGTCATAAAACCATTGCCTTGAGGGTTTTCTCCCTTTGTCCTTTCTTCAGTCGGAGAGAATGTTGCCGAAGGCAAAGTGGACATTCAGAAGTATATCATAAACAAGGTTTGAGATTTGTTTGTTTTACAGTTTTTCTACTGACACTTGAACCTGTTACTAAAATATTAAAGGGCAAGAAGTTAGAGTGATCACAAGAGAAATGAGCTGTTGGGAACTTGATGTGTAAACTATTTTAAGCGCGCGAAAAATGCTAATTGCAAGTGCAGAAAAATATGGAATCCGCGTCAAGCGCGCAAAAATAGAAACGGTGAAATGGCGGGAAATGCGTGACCAATTACAGTCGTACTCTGTCGCAGGAAACTAGTTCTCGTCGTTTTCGGGTAAGTCGGCAATCACTGAGAAACAAATGTTTGTACTATCCATTTATGGTGTCCTGAACTTTCAATTTTTTTTCTTTTACAGCAACTGACTAAATCTCCTCATGACTACCCCGACAAAAAGTCACTCGCACACGTCAATGTGGCCTTGCGGATGCTAAGTAAGGGAAGGAAAGTCAATGCTGGAGATACCATACCTTACGTCATTTGTGACGTAAGTAAATAAATTATTTCCAATCCTTCTTTGAGAACAGACTCCTACCAAGATGTGGTTACTGGAGCGCTTTTCCTTTGAGTGTCGTAAGGCATAGGTATTTGAGAGTTCTTTTTATTTGTTTTATTTACCATATTTTGTTTTGATCATAGGATGGTTCGTCGCTGGCTGCCACTCAACGGGCCTACCATCCGGATGAATTCTGCAAGTCTGATTCACTGAAAATCGGTATCCTTTGAAATGCAAACATCGCAGAAGTGGCAAAATTTTTTCGTTAAATGTTTGTCGGTCTTTTCTATCATGCTATCCAAATATTCAGTCTAGAGCATCAGAAACATAGGCGAAGAGCATGACACTGACGAAGAAAATTACGCTGAAAGAAATAGAACAGTCGTTCTTCGTAGCCTCGATTCCGAAAGGCATCTTAGAATGTGGGACAATTTGCATCAATCTTTTCCGTCACCCGCTTTCAATTTACCTTCTTTTTTGCGGGTTGTTTACAACTGAGCATATGTCGCTCGCTACCATAATGCGACTTATTCATGTGCTTATTTTATTTATTTATTTATTTATTTATTTAGTTCTATATTTTGATATGAAGCCTTTTACCTTAACGTCTTTAAACTACAGACGTTAAGTATTATCTGGCAAATCAGGTTCACCCTGTTGTGTCTCGTTTGTGTGATCCTATCGACGGTACGGACGCCGCTCACATCGCACAGTGTCTCGGTAAGTCGGTAATCGGTTCAAAATAGTATAGTTATCATTGATACGGAATATATCCCTCCGTCTTTCTCAGGGTTCTCGAGGAAGTGTGGGAACTAGGTTTGCTAGATCCAGGCCTCTATTAACGTGACGTTCCTCTCGGTACCATTGTCATGTTCGATATTTCAGCGCTTTTTTCTAATTTGTGATTGAAAGGTTCGGAAATATGTGGCACACGGCTATTTAGCTATTTACTGTGGAAACTTTCCCTTCACAGTAAGGGCGCTCCACGCGACTATGCGCAGTTCTTAGGCAGATTATAGAAGTGATTCAAGAATCGTGAATAGCACTTGTTTTCCTACTGGCTTGGGATTGCTGTTGGGAGAGTGTGCATATGACATGTTTTAATGCCTGGCAGGTTTGGATCCGTCCGGTTACCGTGGTAACACTGGGCTGCATGATGACGAGAATGACGCCTTGCTTGGTGGCCAGGCCCAAATGACAGATGAGGAGAGATTTAAGGTATGTATGTATATATGTATGTATGTAAATCTCTACTTAAACACGGAAAATCATCAGTTACATAATAAAAACTAAGATTAATCAACTGCTTTACATGATTGCCGTGTGGGTATCCTATATATCGACTACGTTAAGATTTCGCCTAAAATGGTTAATGGATGAAACATTTTTTAAGTTTTTGGGCAATTTATTCCATAACATGGCCCCGCTGTAAGAGAAGCTTCGTTTCAAATAATTGGTGTTTGGTTTGGACAAAGCCAGCCTTCCCTCAGAGTTTCTTATGTCGTACACAGAGTGACGCTGAGAGAAAAGGTACAAGAATGAATAAACGAAGTGTGATGTTTTGAAATGAGAAGCCGAAAGTCTGAAACACGGTTGAATTGTTTAAAGGGGAATAATAACCACAGATGTCATCCACGTTACCTTTGGCATAACTCCAGTACCTTTAAGTCATCTCTGGAAACTTTTCTATTTGAGCGTTATTTTATATCTTAGGTTCTATCAAGTTTTAATTTTATTGTTATTATTGTGAAGCGCTCTAAAACCTTTGTATATAGCAAAATTTACCATAAACGTTTAGCTGAACTCATATCCATTAAGAAATGTGAAACATACTCTACCACTATGTCCTGGACTTGAGCCAAAATCTCTTTTGCGCTCTTACGATGCGCCCTCTTATGCTTAAGAGGTACAAGAAAGAAGAGAAGAACGTTTGAGACATTCGATACAGATTTTGTAATTGACAATGCTATGGCAAATAGAGGCTAGACATTTTAAAATTTGTCTTTACAGTTTTTTAGAGTAGGAGTGTCATTTCCCTTATATATTTTTTGAATGTAATTTACTTTTTTAAGGGTAATTTCGATGCACGTTTTTTGAAATTCGTTTAATACGAACTAGTAGTTGCTTTCGCGATTTTTATACTTAGGTCGTTTTTGTTATCAAAGTTAGTTTGGGTCTGATAAGAGCCTGATCCTAGAGAACCGAATTATTATTATTATTATTGTTATTATTATTATTACATTATTTTTTTTATAAAATCAAACTTTATTAACACTCAAAGCAAATAACTATTTACAAGTTAAAAATAAACGACCTAATAGTTCCGATTTCAATTAAAATACTATTTGCAATTTAATCCTTTTCAACATTACATACTAGTAATAGTGATGATAATAATAGTGATAATCATAATCTTAATAATCATATGCTTGTTCACGCTTGTCAAAGCACAATTCCTTTATGCACCTTTTATTTTCACAAGAGATGCATTAGGTAACTTTCTTAACGCACGGTTTGTACCTATATACACCTGAATCTCCAAATCGTGTTCACCTTTTCTAATTTCTTTATGCAGGACTGTGAACGGTTTATTGTGAAATGCAAGCGTCCGGGCTGTGGTAGAGAAACGACTCTTGAAGTACTGTTTAAAAATACTGTAAGTACACACCAGATGATCGCTTGTGATCAATTTATGGAGCTGCAACCAGTACTCTCACCTCTACTGCTTACTACAAGAGTCGTGAGACAGGGCACCGCTTTGAGTAAACGTCTTCAATATGCATCAATTACAGTTGTTGAAAAGCATTTAATCACATCGGAGCGAGGTGACGCGTATTCAGTGGAAGCTCGAATAAGATTAGCAGTATGAAGTCGAAACGTCGTGATCCACATCGGCAGAGACTTCATCATGGGACAATCGATAATACTTCGGTTATACTGTTTACTAGAAGTTACTCAAAGCTTACAATTAGGAGTCTTTTTTTTTTTTTTTTTTTCCATTGGAGATATGGAAAGTTGAGCTTTACTACTGAAGCCTGTTAGAGCGATCCTATCTCTTGCTTCTTGGAGCAAATCTAAAGGTCCGAGGATCACATTTTTTCAGGGGACTAATATTTTTTCGTCGTCCGAGGCGATGCCGATATTTTCTCTACGTCTCTATTTCAAGATGTTTTCATACCTCTGGCACTCATTTGGTGCGCCGCGTGTTACAACCATTTTGTTTTTGTTCTAAAATGATTTGAGACCTCTCTGTTCACTTACGTCATGCAATTCTTTTTGTTTTACAGTCCGACCCATTTGGCCTCAATGACACTTGTCCCGCATGTAAAACACAGTATAGTGCGGGCGCTGTTTCAAACCAACTCACAATTGCCATGCGCAAACATATTAAGGAGTACTACATGGTAAGAAAGTGGATTCTTAAATTCAATCTGAAGAAAAAGAGTACTCGAGACAGATATTCTCCTATTCTCAATTATTTCAAGGTAAAGGAAATTATTGAACTTTTTTCGCTATTTTAACGCAGTTTTAAAATACCCAATGTCACAGGGCTGGCAGAAATGCGATGACCCGTCGTGTGGTTACACAACTCGCCAAGTGCACTTGGCATTTCAGCGGGGTGCCCCTATGTGCACGACCTGTTTCAGGGCTCATTTACATCCAGCGGTGAGTGGAATAGCATTTTTGTTTTTCATTAAACAGTTTCCTCTACTTAATCACAGCGTAATTCATGTATCGAAAGCCATGAATGGCACTTTAACTTTGAAAAAAGGCTTCTACATAGTAACAGACAAACTTGGACAAACAGATCTTGGTGGTCAAAGAGTCAACCTTATCCTTTTTGTTTACATCCTCTTCAGTATTCAGACACAGCGCTGTACACACAGCTCTTGTATTACTCCCGCCTGTTTGACTACGACCACGCCCTCAAGAATTCCAAGGAAGAAGTAAAGAAACGTAAGTGAAAAAAAAAAAAAAAAGATACTCATCGAGTGACTCGCCTTGAAAAGAATCCGAAGGATATCGTTATGATCTTGCTACTCATTTCTGGCCGTAGAAGCCTGGTTACGGGTTTAAGACGCCTCATGCTGTCTGTCGACGGTGAAGATGGTGATTTTCCAAGTTTTTTTTAAACCATTTGGCTTAGCAGAACCTATCCCTGTTAAATCAACAAAACTATTGCAGTTTCACTGTACAACAAAGTAAGACATTGACTCTAGCAAAGCTCTTCTTGAGCTATACGTTTGCGCTTTACCCGTTTCCTTTGCATAGCGTGACTTGTCGCGTTTGTTTCAACAAATAATTTCGCGTTTTTTTTTATTTGGTTGCACTAGCAAAGCGATAGAAATTTTTATATGTTTACAATGATGGAAATATGTGTGAGGTTTTATTTCAAAGAAGTTTTTTTGTAAGAACTAAAACCTTTCTTTTGTTCTACTTTCAGTGCCCTCCGATAAGCGCACTTTCTACACCGCTGTTCACTCAACAGTTTTCAAAGTTCTGAACGCCAACGGTTATTCTGAAGTGAACCTTTCCAAACTGTTCAGTGCTTTCTTCGTGGGAGATAAATAACTTAGAGAAGCTTTCGAGTAGCTTAAGGTCGTTTGGGTTTTTCTTGCGAATTTGTCGTGTTATATTTTTGGTTGAGAGAAAACAGAACGCGCAGCGTGTTCTCGCGCTTTCCAATCATAAGTGGGTGATATGTTTTGTCGCCGTGGTCACAACTAATTCATATCTACGAGAAGACACAATCTCTTTGTACATATGTAGTGTATTTTTGTTCTTTAGGTCAATCGTTTGAATAAATTTTTCCCTTGTTGAATTCTTTTGCATTCAAAACCTCGCCAACTTATTGTCTTTGACGTACAATTCCTAAATGTTATGATAAAATGCTTGCCGTGTTGTAGTTTACACTAGAGATCGAGTGTGAAAAATACTGAGAAGTTAATCAATGCTTTACCATACTGTAACTTCACTTTGAAAGATTGAATAAAAGTAGTAGTTCCTTAATGATATACTTTGAATTCGGGTATATGATTGTCCTTAAAAGTACCAACTGTATGGGAAAACTGTACCTGGCAAGGGAATTCCGTGTCAAAGTGCACGCGAAACCCGATATCGCTCGAATCGCGGATCGCTGAATGATTGAAAAATCTGTTTCAGTTTGAAGTCTGGGAATCACTGACGTTTTACCAAATCGAGCTTCCAAGAAAGGTTTTCACTTATTTTTCTCAGATACGTTGAAATAAAACTTCACTCCTTCTCACCTACTTTATTCAGTTTTCAGTTCTTTCCGTGAAACTACAAAAGCTGATAAACATATCAAAATAATTTCAGACAAAACTTTCCTGGCAGAAATATCTAAAAAAAGTGTGATCTGCACATCGTGAAAACTTTGAGGGCTTTTTCTCATTACTCAAAGAGAGAACATTTTACCATTTGATTAAGCGACTAATGACCAAAAGAGCCGTCAGATTTGCGAAGCGAAAAAGGACCTTGAGTTTAACAGGGTGACCCTATTACATGGATGATGGAATGGTGGAATATCCTTAAACACGGAATGACGGAATATCATAAAACGCGGAATGCGTTGATGTATGAAACAAAAGTAAAAAATAGAACTGCAATGGAATAAGAAAACAATGATTAACAGGAAAAATTAGAAGCATAGTTTAATCATCATTATTGGAGTCTACAGGAAAGAGAAACGGTGAGTTTAAGCTATCCCCTTTAAATTATCATTGCTATTACTATTGTTATCATTATTCTTGGTTGGAATTAATTATTTTTACAATTTCAATAATTGGTTGAAAGTCGTTATATTATTGAATAATCTCGTGTGGAACATGATATTCGTAAATATGTGGAATGCGGCAGGTTTTCTGTTCAGAAAGTGAATACCAATCTTCTTAGCGTCATTATACAACCTGTAGTGTTAGACGCAAAAACATTGTGCTATATCAGAACCTTCGTGCAGTCTTAGGCGTCCTTAGACCGCCTATCCTTGATTTTGGTCACTAGTATCTGATTTTGGTCACTAGCATTCTGATTGAAACCGTCTACATTTTGTTACGAGCATGGAAAGAAAGGAGATTCATGCAAGACTCAGAGTTTCTAAAATCCCATCTAAATCCCACCGATGACATGTCGCTTCAGGAACCTCAAAGGCAAGAAGGAAGAAGAGAACATGAACTTATTCCACTTCCGCTAAGAGAGCGTGAACACCGTCCTACCCAAGTCAGGTTGTGCCAAGTGCGTCCACAAGATCCTGTTGTCCTACTTCAACCACGAGACCAAATGGAGTCGCATCGAGAACCACAACAGCCAGATGGAGGGAGTGGAAATGAGAACTCTGAACAGCTTCAAATATTCATCGCGAAAACAAAAAAAACAATAAAAAAGACACCCATTCTCTCGCCGCACTCCGATCACCGTTTTCAGGTCCTCCAGGGGGTCCTCTTCCAGGGGAACAAACAGCTGCCGATAATTTGACTCTGGATCAGATTTACACAAAGCTTGTTGTGATATTTTTATCCCCTATGATTAGAGACAACTTGAAAGCAATGGGGAAGAGTGATGGGAGCGGGGGAGATGTAGCCTTCCTAATTTCAGGAGAAAGAATACATTTACCTGAGAAATATGCCTTAAGTCTCCTTAAAAAGCTTTCTTCACCATCACCTAGACTTGATGGCAAACTGAATAAAAAATACCGGGGGTTTACAGCACCCTTCTTAAAACTCTTACCATATCTTGTAAGGGTTTTAAGGGTTTTTATTTGTTTAAGTTGTTTCGTGGAAAACCTGTAAACTAGCTTCTAGCTAAGTGTTTCTCCACGTTAAAACTGTTTATTATTATTATTGTTATTATTATTTATTTATTTAATCGCTTTCACCATACTTACAATACTAAAAGGACTAAAATATACATATGAACAAGACACAGAAGAGAACGGAGGACAAGGGTGTGGGACACACAACAGAGCGAGGCTCCAAATTAAGGGTGCCCTTATGAGAAATACACAAATACTAACTATGTAAACAATTGACAATGTAAATAGTATATAAAGAAGTATATAAAATAATAAAAGCAAAAATTATTATTACTATTATTATTATTATTATTATTATTATCTTGGTAGGAATGATTTCCCTTCCAAAAATAAAGCAGAAATTCTTCTCCAAGTCGCAAACCAATGTGTAACAAAGCTTGAAATGTCAATGACATGAAATAAATAGGACACATTCCCTTTAATACGTTCCAACCTAGCCAATCATTCAAAATATTGGCCAGATGGGAGGACACATGTTTCAAAGCTTTTGCTCATGCAATGTTTATGAAATTGGTGGAACTTGTGAGCCAAAACTAAAAAACTAATTGGACAAAAGAACTAAAACAAATGAAAGAACAGATGTGAATTCCACAGGTAAAAGGAATGACAAGAGAAAGCTGGGAAACTCCACAAATTACTTGTTCCAGCTTCAACACTTTTAATCTCAATTTTTGACACAAACAACACAAATTTATCCATTTCATTTTCCTGCCTCAGTTTCTCATATCAGTTTCCAATGAAGTTGAGAAAATAATGGCGTGAAGAAACAAATCTTTGATAGCAGCCGGTAACTTTGTTAAGAGTTGAAATAGAAGTTGCGAAATAAATAACTTTAAAATCTAAAACAGTGAGTAACCAGAATTCCACTGATCCGGGGAGAAAAAGGGGCTTATTAATCCACTGGATGACGCAAACCGTATAAATGATTTCTGGTTTTATTCGATCTATTAAGGAAAACGTTGCATAATATCAGATAGGGAAAACTACAGGGCAAACTACAACATAAGCGAACTACAGTGATTAATCGCATATCATCGACCGCTTACTTCTGTGACGATATCTAGCAGATTATTCCTAATCACTCGTAAACACGGGGTGGCAGTTCAATTAGGCATTCGGTTGGCAAAATCATATGAAACGCCGGTCAGTGAGGGAATAATTTAGCACGGAACGATTCCTTCTAAAAAATGAACTTTCAACACGTTGCGCGATCTTAAGAGGTTACTCATTCCAAGAGTATCATGAACTTAATGAAAAAGGGAAATTAATTGTCAATCAATTACGACTCATATCTAATTATATACTTTTCTCAACGAAACATCCACAACCTATGGTATAGAACTATATTTTCATCTGATTGAAACATTGAAAATGGATAATTAGTAAAATAAAGGATAATCCGCTTTAAACAATATCACAGACGAAAAGTAAATTTGTGTACTAATCAGTTTTGCCACATAAGGCGCACCATGTACAATACACGATAAGTAAGGCTAAAACTTAGCTGATACATTAACAACAACTCGGATTTATCGTCAGCGGAAGCTTACTGGCTGGTGAGGGTATAAACCGACACTTGGTCGACATGTAGACCGACAGCTGCCTTACGTACACATAATCCAAGCATTTTCGCCATAAAATTCTACTTTACATAGGTGGCTTGTTGTGATTAATTTGGCAATTTGAGTTAATGAAACACGATGGAAAATGATACACGTATTGTTGGCAGTTACTAAAGCCTGCGGTTCCTCATCAGACATTCGTTTGAAATCTTTAAAAGATGAGTTTCAGATATACGACCAAATTTATGTCATAAAGGAAGGATGGCTGGGTTCATTCGCGCTAGCTCGAAGACATTCGTTTGCCGTCGTGGCTTACTTACGGACGTAGTTACGTCATATTCGTGCATTCGGCGGAGGAAAGCCTTTTGCGTGATCATCTTACGGGTTATGCCTTAAAAACTCGCCATATTGTGATAATATTTGTATCACGCAAAGTAGTAGAAGAGGCCAGGGCTTTCAACCAAAGATTCAGTAACTTAAAAAATGTCGGATGTGTTTGGCTCTGATTCCGACGATTTGGAATGGACTGGTGATTTAGGGGTAAGCTGTAAGTTATCGCATGATTTCTTTGATACTTGCTAATCAGACAGTGAAGTTTAACGGTACTCCGCCCCATTTTGAAAGCTATTATGTGCCTTCCCGTAAAATAAATCCGCGTAAATTAAGTTTTGTTATCGATAGAAAAATAAAGAGCGCTTTGATAGCAACGGTATCAGCTTCCAGTGATTTTCATGCTTTCTCGTTGTGCCGGATTGTTCGTTTACAAACTACAGGAGTACGATGGCGTAAGAAACGAGTCGGGCGAGAGACATGGCGAAGGGAAAGCTGTTTTACCTAATGGTGATATTTACGAAGGGACTTATTCTCATGGAAAGAGGCATGGGGAGGTAGGATTTTTGAAGAAGCCGATTAAGCCTACTTCCTACTTGTTATATATGAGATAGGAGATATTTAAATATAATTATTCTCCTGTATCTTTTAAAAAGATTATTACAGAGTGGACCGAATTCACTCCAATTTTACTCCTCAGGATGTGTCGCCCTAATTTTGTAATATTTTTTATTAAAGTGCATGCAAAGATTTCAGACAAAGGGCCTTTCCAGCTGTTGAGTTTACGCGTTTGACACTATTTTTACGTTGGAGAGATACTTCGAAAACGTTTCCAAAGTGTGTTGATTTTTTTTGAGGGTGTATACACTTTTCGAAATGGAGCGAAGTACTCAGGATATTATAATCACGGCCTCAAGGATGGCTACGGTGTGTTTGATTATCCTGATGGCTCTAAATACGAAGGTAAGATTACCTTTTAATCAACTGAAATAAACCCAATTCACAATCTTAAAAGAAAACTGAAAAATTCTAAACAGATGGTTTCTTTATAAAGCATTAATGTTCAGAATGTATTGGATACAAAAAAATAAATTATTATTTGTTTCATTCTACTAGGTCATCTAAACAAAGTTGAGCTGTTGTTCAACAAAACCACATTCTTAACTATTTTGAATCTAGCTGAATCTTTTATATGAACACTTATTTTGTGAACAGTGTCACAAGGGCTGAAAGCTAACAGTGGAAGGACATTTATTTGATGAAAACAACCCCTCTTACAGAGAATAAAATTATGTAAGGCCCTTCACTGCTTGTGTAAAAACCACTGTTTGGCTGAGACTTCTTTAAAATAACCGGCCTTAAAAGTTTTTTTTTACTCTCAATATCCAAAATCAACTTCTTCTCACTGCCTGCAATACATTTCCTTTAATTTAAACTATGAGAATTTGGTATTGAATCAAACAATATATACTAGTTGATACTTAAATTCCTTTTTTTCATCACCTTTGTATACTTATCTCTTTCCTCACTAACACAATAGAATACACACTCTCCACACCAGTCCCTTTACATTCTCTATGGTGTTGACAAGGAGAATTTGTTTGACAATCAGGAGCCTTTTGAATTGTTGATCATTTCCTTTATTCTCGCGACCTTTATATTTGATTCAAGGGTGATACTGTATCGAGAAATTAGAGGTAGGTCGCTCTCAGACTTAAAAAGTTAAATAAGTGTCAAAATTACAAGGAGAATTTACTTAATAATCACTCCAGAAAGAAGGAAAATGGTAAGAATGATGTGCTTAACTTGTAACTTCTCCCTACAACATCCATACAGAATCTAGCAAACAGGTAATGAGAACACTTCAATGGATAAAAGTTGTCATTTTGATCTGACACCAAATTCTCATAACAAGTTCACAGTCAAGGAAATGTGCAGCAGCTAGAGGGGAGAATGAACAATCAGGAGGATGGTAAAGGGTACTAAAATCGCGATTTGTGAATGGTCGATTTTTTCCCCCATAAAATGTGAAATGGCTTGTTTTTTTTCTCAGGAGTCATGATGTCATTAGTAGCCGTGAACTGTGATTTTCGAAATAATTCTTCGCGACTCGAGAAAGAAGTATTTAATTTGTTATGAACCATGATTTTGGTTGTAGTTTCGACAGTAACTGACAATGACCATTAGTTGTGTGAAAGGACCAATTTATTTTCCATGAAATGTGATCTTGACACCTCCTTTACCACCCTCAATCAGCTTGCGGGAATTAAAAGGTTAAAGTTATAAAATTTTATTCAGGAAAATGGGAAATGAATGAGCGCAATGGACAAGGAGTTTATAACTATGCTAACGGGGATGTTTATGATGGAGAGTGGAGAAACAACTGTAAAGAAGGAAAAGGAGTGTATACTTGTGCTGCAACCAAACTCAAAGTATGTTATCACACACATTAAGTTGACCATTTTGTAACCAAAGAATTGGTGGGGCTCAAAGAAGTGAACCGTTTACACCCTGGTATCAGTATGCAATTTCTCCATACTGTTCTTTTTTTATTTCCTTTGGTACTTACAAAGAGAGATTGTCTAATGATCAAGGGCTTCTTGAGTTTTCCTCTGAGGTGGGTGTGGTAAACTTAGGAGCCCGTTTGCAGGTTAAACGGTTTGAATATGAAGGGCTGTTATTTCAGAAGTCCAGAATAAAGTAAAAATAGGTTATCATAAACCAGATAAATGGAATGATGCAGCTTCACTCTGGTAGACACACCTTGTAGCAAGATGTCTATATAACCATAATATTTACTGGGAAACTTAATGTTGATGACTAAACACGAATGAATAAGATAATTTTGAAGGCTTGTAATTTTGTACAAACATTGATGAAATCCATGATAAAACAGAAATGTCCAAAATGTATTTTAGAGACAATAATTGGCACTTTTGAGTACATCTTAATTATTATGGAAAAAAAGTGTGAAAATGTGTTATTTTCTTTTTTTTTTTAAGTATGATGGACACTGGGAAAATGGAAAGCTGCATGGACCAGCCATTACAAATCTTCCAAATCATGTCTACCTTGGATCTTTTGTGAATAATATGGTGAATTTATTTTGTAACACGGCATATAATGCATTGATCAATTCAAAGCTTGAACATACCTCCCCCTCCTCTTTCCAAACTAAGTACTGAAGGAGGGAAAGCAGTGGCCAGAAAAATCTCAGTTTACATTTGACCCTCACTCTTAAATGGATCTGATGTTTTAAAAATTCTTGTTGTTCTTTATTGGTAGCCCTGTGGACCTGGTCGATATGTCTTTGACTTTGGTGTGGAGCAACATGGGGAGTACATCTTCCCCAAGGTAATTAACTCAATATGATTAATAGTATTTCAGTACTTCAGTAGTTACACATTTTTTATGAAAATCCTGTTAAATGTTTACCAAAATGCATTTCTTCTCCTGCATGGAGAGAGAGACTGTGAAAGTAGAGTCTTGTTCAAGAACACAACACATAAGTCCTGCCCCCATGAGTGTGGGGATTAAGGCTCAATTCTGATTTTTTTTGTATAAAATTTACCTGGATCTTCCTTGTTCTGCTCACACTCAGTGCCTCTGAAACTGAATGCCAAATGCATGTCTCATGAGGACATTGTGATTGCCAAGTTTAATTTATAGTCTTTGTGGCTTAATGATAGAGCATGGGGCTGCAGAATCCAAAACTCTACTACTTGACTACTCACGAGGACTCAGAATTTTGTTTCTTTTTCCCACAATCATGACAAGATAAAAAAGAACATCTTTCTCTAACATTTAATTTGTCTGGTTTCAGAATGAAAACGCTAATGAGGATATGCATGCCACAAAGTATCCAGTTTGGCGATGTCACCCAGACCTTCGTCCTCTTGGTTCCTAATTAGATAAATAAACGAAAAAAAAAAAAAACTGGCCTAAGACTCAACTACTCCATGTAATATGCATATTTTAAGGGAACTGGCCTTCATTCAGTAATTAATTTGTAGTATGTTATTGATAATATTTATTTTTGCATGCAAGCTTGTTGGTACTAAACCAAGTTGAAAGTTTTAAAAAAAGTTGTTTGTTTTAATTTGTAGTCTTTTGTGAAAGATTAGGAGGAGAATAATTAAAAAGATCTTTGTCCTATGATTTTGAATGTAGTTAACTTCATAGAATGAAAGCCTTGTCCTTGAAAAGGAGACAGAAAAGGTTAGGGGGAAGGGCAAAAATTCTCCTTACAAACAGCAGAAGCAACAGGAAACCAGAAGCAAGAACCAAAATTCTATACCTCTAAGTTTACAAAATTTTTGTTTGTCAAAACAAATCCAATCAAATTTACCTAATCATTCTAAGCAACATATGGCAATCTGCGGTCTTTCCTTACACTTAGGTAGCACGGAAAGCCGTAAAACTCTTGAACAAAAGCTCATCTTTCAAACTGGCAGTCTAAATCTCACAGGTATCAACAAATGCTTTTCAATCCACTTATTTATTCGTGTTTTTCTCGTTGCCATGTTCCCACCAATCACGTAGCTCTATTTTCTGCCTTTAAAAGCACACACAACCCACAATTTCTCTATTCGCTCTGACGAAGGGCTAACGCTCGAAACATCAGCTTTTATAATTGTAACGGTGGCCAATTTACCATTTCAACTTAAATTAAACAAGACTTTTACTGCTAAACTTTACAATGACAGAAGAATAACAAAGGAGAGAAGAAAGAGACCACAATTGTAGGCAACAATGCTGGGATTCAGAGTGCACCAAGTAGGCTAAAGCTCTAGAAAACCATGCACTACTTTGAGGGCAAACTGGTAAAGGTAGGGGCAACTTGTTTTACTTCAGGTGGTGAACTCCTAAAAGTGATAGGAGGTCCAAACTTGCAATTTGTTGAAACCTACATAAACCCTAAAGGGCTGTGTTCTACCTTGTTTCAACTCTCAATTGGTTGTATTCAGGGATAATCTTGACTTGTCAGGTCATTAAATATAGACACCTTAAAAATATACTAAATGGAAATCATTGTGCAAAAGATATTTGTACCTATTCAGATATCAAAAAAATTGCAAAAACATTTTAAAATATTAGTTTGAATTGTGCAGAAAAAAAAGCACGTTGTAAAAAAAGAAAACTGAAATCTGATCTCCATCCTAGCAGAAATAATTTTTACAGCAAACTTATGCAAGAAAGCTATTTGTGCTGCACAAAATTATAAGCAGTTCAAATAAGTATTTAATCAAAAGATTTAGGAAGATGGCAAATTTTGAACTTTTTTGCCAGAGTAAAGAAAGTATGATAGTACAGTATAGTAAATTTGACAGTGGTAGTAAAACCCTTCCATAAAAATACTGATAGACTCCAATTTCTTTGTGCTATTTGCACCAGAGATAATATAATTTATGAAGCAAGTAACATTTAATGTAGAACTTAACTCTCTGTTTTCAGAAGCAAATGCAAAGGGAATTTAGCTCAGCTGGCACAAGCAAATCTCTTTACATACATACATACATAACTTTATTTGATAACGCAGGTTAAAATTTTGTGCAACTTTACAGCTGATGTGGACCTGCCTAAACTAAATAGTCTATAATTATATAAAATACAGATATGATAAAATTTATAAGTTGAATAAATTAAGTAAACCATAAGATTTTAGTAATAGTGAAAATTTGGTTTCATGTTTTGTATAACATTACCTCCCTTTTCAAAATTAATATTTATGACAGTTTCCTTGGATTGTTTTAAGTTATATTTAAAAATAGATAAATTTGGAGAATCTTTGAAATTATCGGGAAGTGCATTCCATACTACTGCAGATCTATGAGCAAAGGACCTACAACCCAGTTCGGTTTTGGGCCTATTAAGTACAACATTCAGGGATTTCCTTAGGTTATAGCTGTTGGAGTTCTTGGTCACCAAACAATTAATTTCCCGCAACCCTAAATTATAATAAGCATTATATGTAATAGTTAAGATACGTAGCTTATAAAAATACTCTAAAGGCATCCAGCCAACCTTAGAAAGTACATCATTATCCTCAAAACTATTTGGTATCTTATGAATCAGCCTGGCAGCCCTGATGTGAATCATTTCTAGATCTTTAAGCTTGGGTCCAGACCCCCAAATTACAATTCCATATAGAACACTTGGTATAACTATCCTATAGTAAAAAGTCTCCAAGATAGATGTACATAGGAAATTTATACGTCTCAACATTTTAACTTTGGCATTAAATGCAGATCTAGCCAATGCAACATGCTGAGACCAAGAGAGTTTATCATCAATTGTAACCCCAAGGCAATTGGTGGAGGACACATACCGAATGGTGTCCACACCCCACTTCAGCTGTTTCAAAGGACCTATGAAGGGGGTAGTACTTAAGACCATTGCCTCGGATTTACCTTCATGTATGCACGAGATTACTGTGTGGTGGATGTCCTCCCCTGGGGTGGGATAGGAGGGAAGGTGAGATCGTTACATGGTCTGAAGCGGCTGCCAGAGGCGCCTGATAATGCTGATGTCCAATCTCAACCTTATCATTGTAACTAGACATGTTTGTTGTTTAGAGTGCTTAAGACTTTCTTTCTTTCTTTCTAGTGTCTAATTTCTTAGACACCAAGAGAATTTCTACTGTTGATAAGCTTCTCTAAACAGGCGGAAGCTGTTCAAAAGAAGTCTTACGACATATTTTGCCAATCACGATGCTAGTATAAAGATTTGTGAAAAGATCACAAGAATGAAAATGTTACCAATTGTTATGCTGTGCTAATAATATCTTCTTGCACTAAAACGTGGTGGTGGGGATAGGGGCTATGTCCCTCCAAATTTTTGTTTAAAGAGACCCCTGCTCCGCTGCCTATGGCTTTAGTAACCTCCCTGACTCAATGGTGTGTTAGTCCTACATAGAATTGTTACAAAATTGAAGAGCCTTGAATAAAAAGCATTATCTATTGCCTCAATTTTCACATTTAAAATAATAGGTTCTATTTCTTGTGACCTTTACTTAAAAAATCTTTTCTTGGCAAATCTAATAATAAAAAAAACCCAAACCCAGCTTATTAAATACATTCCTAATCCTCCCAGCTTGACAAAAAGTTTTGGTTTCTTAGAAGACAGAGTGCGATAGCAGAGTAATGTTCCTGGTCCAAGGCGCCAACAAATGAACATCATCATGAAGACAACATCATTCAGTTTTGCCAGCAATGTTTGATATTGTCCAGTTTCTCGCATAAACCATCTTATCTGCAAAAATGGATTTGAGATCTCCGTTCCAAGTATTGTCGCGGCAAGTTCAGGACCAGAATAACCATCAAACAGCACAAAAACTATTCCGCAGGTGGAGATAATATGATGTAAAAGCATGACAAACCCTTCAGTACCCATGTAAGAACACCACAGAAAGTCAAACAGAAAGTAACTCAAAGTAAAGGTGGCAATAAATGTATGAAATGGGGTGTTAGCATCACCCATGGCAACCAAGGGCCATGGACCAGTAATAAATGCACTCCAGAATGACAATAACGATGTTAAAGCTCCATGACACACTGTTACAAGCCGGCAGTTCCATTCATGGCTTCGATGAGGATTGATGATGCATAAGTAGAAATATAAACTGGTCCAGATAAAGAACATTGACATCAGAGGTATTGCAAGAGGAATGAAACCCATGGTGGCATTTGATCCAAGACGAAGACTACAAAAAGGATGAATAAACAAAAAAAAAAAGACCTTATCTAAAATAAAAAATAAAAAATACAAGATACTTCTTCAACGCCAGAGATGGCTTACACTACTTGTTGGCAATTTCTGTACTAGTTTCGCCGCCGGGAAAACTGAATATTCAAAGTTGAGCCTTGTGACTCCAAAACATTTCAGAACAAATCCTCCTGAAAAAGCCGATAATTGGCCAAATTTTCTTAACTCACACGACAGCTCTTGGATGCAACGCGTGCTATAGGTAAGGGTTATGTATATGGCACAAAATCATCAAAATTGATCAAATTTGCCACCAATCAAATATATCGATCCGCAGTGATTACAATTGTAACCCAACACGGCTCACGCAATGCACCTGGCAGCTAGTCGTGGAGGAGAAAAAAAGCATCATTTTCATGATCGAAAGGAAAGTTTAATTTTCGATGCAAATGAGCGACTTGAGGAGATCTAGCATTTCCCTGTAAATTTTAAAACAACTCGTAAATTAAAGCGCTTTCGACGCCGAACAGTTACGGTTACATGATTGCACGTCGAAACTTGCCTCAAATTTACAAAAGGTTAAAAAGCACACCAATATTTGCTTTTCCGTTTTCGATCTCGGTTACTCGAGCCTCGTATCTTAAAGCATGCTATGCTCTCTAAGATTCCATGCGTTAAGCTTTTACAAAATTCTGACCACAACATGCATCTGTAAGCTTGTATCACTCACCCAAATACCGCGATATGTGGGAGAAATATCTCCCTATTGATGACCGCCTTTCCACAGAAAAATGTCAACCTCCACAGGAGAAAGATATCGGTTTTGTCTGGCATAAACAGATTAGTTCTTCATTATTCAGCTTGTTATGGTTCCACTCCCATATTCGACTTCGATACCGAGATGGAGAGTGTTTGGTCACGTGTCAGATAGGAACTCGTCTTTCCGGAAGCGAAATCATGAACGGTTCGCGCCAAAATCTCAAGGGCACGAAATGTTCTTTAGTTACGTATTAGGCCTTGCACAGAGAGTTTTTCAAAAGGGATTTTGTAAAACCCATCGACGAATAAATAGTTTTAGATAGTAAGGTACTATTGAAACCGGGAAAAGCGCGAATGCCAAGACGAAAGGGAGCAAACAAATTTAGAGCAAGGGACACGAGCTGGTAAAAGAAAAAGGAAACGCCTGCCTGCTAAGGAAAGGCATTTTACCTACTGGTCACTCTGGGAGACAAAAGTAGACTTTGCAATACATAAACGTAACTGTGCGAGTAAGTGGATTCCGTTTAATTTTATTTCACAGGTGATCGCCGGGAGAATGAACGCATAGAACATGTCCAATCACTGCTATAAGCTGCAAATCACAACGTTCACGGCCTTGAACTTTTTTAGCCAATGAAAGTTTTCTAAGGCGTGGAATAAAAGAAACTGGTCTTGAAAGATAGTCAAAGCCATCATTGTGTCTGTGCGCATCCTGTAACATGCTACTGATTTGATGGCTAATCGCTGCTCGTTAATGATTTGTTTGAAACCATAGATTTTAATTATCACTGCCTCTCTGTTGTTTATTTGATTTTCATTTTGGTCTAATTCGCAGCTGGTTCTTCTTTGTCTCCTGCTCCCGATGGCGCTGTCTCTTCTTCTTAAATAGGAACCTGCTCATCTCCATTCCCTGAGGCCCCTGAGGCAGCCTTCTTTTCTCCCTCTTTAGGAGCCCCATTATTTCCTTCTTTTGATAGAGCGCTCCCCTTATCTACTTCTGACGGAACCTCATTACCTCCCTCCCCTGACGCCCCTTTACTTCCTTCTTCAAATGAGGCTCTTTCAAGCTCCCTTTCAGATTGCATTATTCCTTCTACTGGAATCTGACCATCTCCTTTATTTGCACTCTCCTGTTTACTGCTGCCGTTTTCTTGCATCAGCACTTGTTCTTCACTGATATCAGCTTAGGTGGATTCCCCTGCATCCTCACTTGCTGCCTTAGTTTCTTCGCCTGTGGCGTCACTGGCTGCTTCCCCTTTCTCCTCCTTTGAATCACTTCCAGCCTCAGCCACCTCTTCTGTGGCATCAGTAAATCCTTCAATAGCCTCCTCTTTACCATCAACACCTGCCTCCATTTCCCTCTCTTGACCATCATTGCCTGCCTCGGTCACATCCCGCTTGACATTATCCCTTGCCTCAGCAACCTCTTCCTTGGAATTTTTCCCTTCCTCAGTTACCTCCTCCATAACCTTACTGCGTGCTTCAGCATCCTCCACCTTAGTAAGACTGCCTCCATCAGCCATCTCCTCCTTACCATCACTGTTTGCCTCATCTATCTCCACCTTGGCATAGCTACCTGCCTCAGTTGCCTCTGCCATGAGATTACCACCCTCCGCTTCCTCTTCCCTAGCATCACAAACTACCTCTGCCTCCTTCTCCTGACCAATACTACCTGTCTCAGCTGCATCCCTCTTAGTATCACTTCCTGCCTCAGTTACCTCTGCCTTGGCAGGACTGCCTTCATTAGCAATCTCCTCATTAGCATCATCAGCTCCCTTAACTATATCTTCATTGGTAGCACTGCCACCCTTAACTTCCTCCTGCTCACAATTGATACCTGGCTCAGCTACTTCCCCCTTGGCATCACTAAGTACCTCAATTTCCTCCTCTTTAGTGTCTGTGCTTGCCTCAGCTTCCTCCTGCTTGGCATCACAACATTCCTCAGCTACCTCCCCCTCTGCATCACCACCTTCCTCAATTATCTCCTCTTTATCACCACAGCCTGCTTCAGCTTCCTCCTCTTTAGTATCACAGCAAGCTTCCTCATTCTGCCTGCTGTTGTCTTCCTTGGATCCCCCTGCCTCCTGAGCCTCATTAGCTTCTTCAGTGACCTTCTCGGGAGCTGTACTGCTTCCATCGCGTGAAACTAACTCCTCCTTTACGATGCATTCTACTGGTAACTCAACTGATGATACCTCCTCCTGAGTGCCTCTCTCTTGAGCAGTGTCAGTCTCTTGATTCACCTCTTCAGTGGTAGTGCCATGATCCTGAGTTTGTTCTCCTTGGATGGTATTTTGTTCCATGGCTTCCCCTTCCTGTATCACAACTTCTCCTTGGGTTACTCCCTCTTCAGATATATTCTCATCCTCTTTCAGCTGTTTCTGGACAGCAGAGCCCACTTGAAGTACTTTTTCCTGAACAGCTCCCTCATTCTTGGATACTTCTGCCAGAAAAGCGTCCTCCTCTTGAGCTATTTCTATTTGTGTGAAACAAATTTGTTGATTAGTGGCACCTTGGAAAGAGCTCTCATCCTGGCCAGCTCCCTTTTCCTTCTCTGCCTCATTTCCCTCCTTGCTACCCTCCGATTCAGCTTTGCTAAAGTCCATCTCCTCTATTACAATCAGTGGAGGATACTCAGATCCATGCATAGATGGAACCTCATCTGAGCTTTCCAAAATTGCCTTATCAATGGCCCCTTGAGTGAGCTCTTCTGAAACACAGTACTATGGTTAGAAGCTTTGCAAACTGATTATTTCCTGCTGTTCATTAAAATGTAAAGGCCCAGGCTTCAAAACTTCATCAACTAAGGTCACTTACTTCAATTACTCAGTTTGCCATTTCCCTTCCAGTTAGTGCACCAACATGTTAATTGATGCCACAAGGATTGGCTTTGGAATAACTGCTTGCCCAAGTTGAAAATTTGACTGTAATCAAGAAATGGTTAATATTACATCAGGAGAAACAAGTTTGAAGCACATAGTTTTTTTAACACCTTTTATTCTGTGCAAAAAAATTTTGCATAATTTTTCAATCTACCTGTACAAAATTAATCACACTATACACTAAAATAATTAAATTAGGAAATAAAGTAAGTTTAATGATAAAGGAGAATGAGAACATCCTGAAATAGTAAATATTTGCTAAAAGTTACTCAATAATACTAAAAAGTACAGCTTGAAATTAAATTAAACCCTTTCACTCCCTGGGGTAACCACTGCTGAATAACCCCTTACAATATACAATATATATTTTGTTAATTGAAAAGGTGATGAAAAGAAAGAAAATATTACAAATTCTCAGATCTAAAATGCAGAGAATTGAAGTTGGATCTTCAAAGTGAAAGGGTCTAAGACCAAACTAAATCAGTTGTACGACATCTTCTACCTTCAACAAGCTTCCTTTTATAGTCAAGGGTTACACTTCAAATTTCAATGTGTCCGTTGGAATTGCTTTGAAAGGATCAATATTTTGAATTTGTTTTTTCTGAAAAGCATTGTTACTTTAAATGTGAGAGAAACCACAAAATATGAGTTTGGCAATACAAAGACAAGAAAATGGAAAGTTTTTTTGATCCAAATAGAAGTGATGGGAAAGGGTAACATGAATTGCAATTGGCCAAGTTTTAGACTTGCATTTTTAAGATACAAAAGTGGTGATGGACATTGCTTCTATAATTAATCACTCTTTCCTGATTGGTAGAACCAGTGAGACTAAATGTAAACTGTAAAACTTTCTAGAAGAGATCATCAAGAGGAAATAACATTACAGTCTACAAGTTGTCTGTAAAACTATCAACTAAACCTCTCACTAACAAAATACATGATTATTTTCTTCACCTCAATCTTTAGATTTAAATGCATCCTATTTGACCACAAACTTTCTACACTACTTTACCTAATTGGCTCTTTTTTTACAAGTAGTTACTATCATTTTTCTTTTTGATAAACATTCACAGATTGTTATCAGACTATGTATTGTTAGTGCATAAATTCTGAAGGGGCACCTTCTTATCACATAATCTTCATCACCTTCCTGAAAGTAAAATTTCTCCTTGGTTTATAGATGAAAATAAATTTTTCATTTTTTTTTCTTATTAATCACAGACCAGAGGTGGTTAAGGACCTCATGGAGATTACATTCACTTCCACACAGATCATTAAAATAATAATCATCACACACAGAGTTTTCAACAATAAACATACAGTTACTTAAACATGCAAGCAGTTTAGTCCATTTTACACACACAAATTTCCCTCTGACTCAATTACTTACTTAGAGTTAATGGGCCCATAGTGATCTTGTAAAAGCATTGTTCAATGAATTGCATGAAAACTGATTAATTATTTACATGAGGAGCATTCCAACGATTAATTTGTAAAATATTCTACAGTAGGAATTCCCTCTGAGATTTGTACCAAATGCATATTGAAAGGCAAGGACTTTATTGGTTTTATACTACATAACCATAGAGAGAAAAAAATTTCCATGTTATTCACAAAAAAAATATTAATTTAATTGAGCTGATACCATCATTGTACTGAAACAATATAATATGTCATTAACAATGGGGTTCTTTGTATAAATCTATTATTTTGATTGAAAAGATTATAGCCTAAATGATTACTTATCCAGACAAGAGTTGATTACATCTGCCTAGACTAGCACTAGATAATATTTTATGTTTTTCTGATGTCTTCCCTCAATTTTCAACAACTTACTCCCTGAACAACAAGCAGATATATTACTAATTGTACAAAATTAAGTTATAATGCACCAACCAAACATTGGATAAACAATATGTACAATATTACACTGTGTGCTTTATTTATTATTACCATCTTTAAGTTAGTTTTCAATGCTTAGTATTCAAGTTTTAAGAAAAGCATTGGCATAACTCTCCTCTTGCTATCGAACCAGATGGGAATTTGTACAAAGGGGGAAGCTGTTAAACTTAGTTTAGGTAAATTTGTTTTAAAAGCAGAATGTTATTTAAATACAAGTAGATCTACAGTTTAATTTCTTTTAAGCTAATCTTCTGACGGCTTTGACTCATCAGCCTCCTCAGCAACTGATGGTTCAGCATCACCATCACCCTTATCTTCCTCACCTGCTGGAACTTCCTGTTTTTCATCTACTTCCCCTTTCTCCTCTGATGCTACCTCTTCATCACCTTGTGGTAAAGACTCTGAGCTTTTCAGGGCCTTTACCTGCTCCCTTGCCTTATGACCCCTGAAACTTGCCTGAATCTTAACTACAGCACCTTGCAGATCTGGATCATTCATATCTATATCTATCTGTTCTTGCTCACCTTCTGCCTTTTCTTCATCTGCTGCACTAGCTTGCTCATCAGTAACTACCTCTCCTTCTTTCTCTAGCTTATCAACTCCTTTATCTGCATCTGCAACTTCATCAGCACCTTTGCTGACAGCCTCATCAACAATGGCTTCTTCTGTTACGGCCTCTTCAGCTTGAACAACTTCTGTGGCCTCCTTGCCAACTGCCTCTCGTGTTTCAGCACCTTCAGCTGTGATAGCACCATCAGGTTGTCCTTCCTGCTCCACAGGCTCCTGCACATCAGTTTCAGCTTCAGCATCTTCAGTTTTTGCTGCTTCTGAGTCATCAGGTTGTGCATCTGGAGCTTGCTCCTCAGTGGCATCTTCCTGCCTCTCTGGTTCTTCAGCAGCTTCCACCTCTCCTGCCACAATTGCTTCATGATCAGGTAACTCTACAGAGACAACCTCTTCTGGGGCATCTTCAGCAGCATCTACAGTCACTGATACTTGCACATCACTTTGTGAAGCCTTTATCTCCTTCACTTGCTCTCGAGCCTTGTGCCCACGGAAACTTGCTTGAATTTTGAGAGCAGCAGCCTCTTCATCTTTGTGTTTCTTCACATCCTCCCGAGCTTTGTGTCCACGGAAGCTTGCTTGAATTTTGACAGCAGCTTTCTGCACATCAGGGTCATTCATATCAAGGTCAACTTCTTCTCCTCTCTGCAACTTTTCCATTTGATCACCTTTCTTTGCATCATCTTTGCCAGTTTCTAGAAGTTTGTGAATCACAAAAATGAATGAGACATAAATATATTTCCAGAATAAAAACCCTACTCTAAAGGCCTTGATGAAATTTTGTTTGGAGCGATTTGAAGGAGTAATAATAGTGCTCTGAATTGTGTTGGAGTGATTTTATTCACATTTTATTATTGTGATACCAAAATGGAATTCGAAAAGTTACCTTAGAAAAACACTTTACCATAAATTCCTTTCACAAGCTAAATAATTAACGCTTCCTTCCTTTAGATGAAAATTATATTAAAATTATATGGCAATGCGTTTCTTTCAGAATATGGCAATTTCAATTCAATATTATTCCACTTAAAAGTATATATTTAATTTTCTAACGCTTTCGATCACGATATCTTGCTTTACAAAAATGTGAAAAGCAAGAAAAGGAAAAGCCCTTGACGCTAACGGATGGAAGTTCCTGCAAAATTTTCCTCGAGAAGGAGGGAAGTTAAAAACTAGGAAAAAGAGACCCATGAATGAGTAATCTTGTAGATAAGTAATATTGTAAGTCAGGATGCAAATAATTGGAACGGATTCGGTCGAAAAAAAAACACGGATCACTAAATATTCGATTTGGCTTGCATTTTCAGCTAGCGTAGCTATACAAAGAAAAAAGGTACCTTCACGGATTAGAAGCTGGTTCTTGAAATACTGCGCGGCAAAGTTGATGATGTCCTCTGGTTGCTCTCGCAAAACTTCTCTCGCCAAACCCTCCAATAAATTTTGAAAACCCGGCGGAACACGTAGCTTCATAGGAGCGTATTGCACCGCCATGTTAAGTTTTCAAATCCTTCGCAGAAACAGTCAGAAACACAGAAAAATCGATCAAATACAGAGCAATCTAATTGCACTAATGCGCTACATAAGTATAATGGCAGAAGTCTCTATGACGACAGCAAATAATTATTGGTTAATTGAAGCCAGGAATCTGGGGGCTAGTTTGTTATTTAGTTCCCAGGGGTGGGAAATTTTGACTCGGTCGAGGTCAGGGTCAAAACGTTAACTTTTTTCTTTTTTGGGGTGTATCAGACAAAACTCAACTGGGATTGATGAAAGTATCTGGCAACAATTACAACTTGAAGATATTTATGGAAAATGGAGAGCTCATATTTATTCTTCAAAATATTTCTCACAAAGAGGAAAAAGTTGACAAAAAAGGTATTTCAATATTATGATCTATAACTTGAATAAAAATCTATGAAATTTTAAGACGATTAACGCATAAATTCAATGCCACTTTCTTTGATAAAAAATCTTTGGTGTCTTCTGCTCAACGGAAAAGTTCTGTGAACTGAATAAGTTATGTCAACTCCAGTTTGAACAATATTTCTATCAAATTCATAACGGTGATTCACCAGTCTTTGCCACAGCTGACACAAATATTCACGATTTGTTGATTTTTCTGCGTTCATGAAGATTGATTGCTTAGTGGCAATCAGAGCCACATGATACTTCTGCACATACTTTTGTAAAATATTGACAACTTTTCTTTGGTTTGATTCTTGAAGACCCAGGCTCTCTGCACCACTACCTCTGTCAAGCCAGTAAAATGCACTCAAACTGTCAATCATAAAGACACCCACTTCAGGCTTGGCAGCTAAGAGATTTTCAAGTGATAAGACAGTCGCCAGTAATTCTATGCTGCTGTTACAACGAACAATAAAGAACAGACCAAGACAAGACTTGATGAGGCTTTCATAATCACTGTATTTCTCGGGATAAACAAGAGGAATGCCTGCTGAAGTTTCCTTGAGGGGGTTAGTTCTATCACTTTCTGATGCCCTCTCAGATTGATCAGCATCTCTGATTGCTTTTAATATCCTGTGTTCCATTATTGTTACCAGTCGCAGCAACTGGAAATGAAAATCATTGTCTACAAATACAACCCCGACAGATCTTCCATTAAGTTTGAGATCCTTCCATGACCTTGGGAGAATACAGTTTGCAATCAAATGAAGAAGCATCTCTGTTTTGCCACTTCCTTCCATGCCACAAAATTCAATAACATTTCCTGGTTGAACACCATCAGGAATATCTGCAAAAAGATCTAAATCCAGTCCACCTAGAGCCTGTTTACCACCCAACCGCACAAACAGCTGAAAAAGAGAGGGCAGAATGACATGTATAGCTTTAAGTTATGCAATTTTAAAAAAATCTTAGAACTTCATCACAGCTTTTCTCAGAGGTCCCCTAATAAAAAATTGTCGAATTCTTTTCTTTAAATCTACTGGGAAGCTTTTAATCCTTGGTATACTAGTTCTCAATTTGCAATGTTTTTAAGTTAAACCTTTCAGAAAACAAGGTTTTAGTATCACTGTAATATTGTTAATATTCTCTGCATCTTTCAAATTGTGAAGAGTAGAAGAAAAGAAACACTGCTTTGATAAATTGGAAAATATGAATAAGTTATGATTTTGCAGCAAATTTAATTTTAAATTCGACCACTTTACTGATGAATAAATATTCATTCAGTATTGAATGTTACATTACATTACATTACCTGCGCTGCCGACTCAGAAGCCATTTTGACCGGGAATAGTATTGAAGTCTGGGCCTAACAGAAAATGCGATTTGTCAACGGAAATGATCTAAGAGTGGCTAATACCCAAAGGCCTACTGGGAATTTGTAGTGACATCAAATATGGCGACCGAGTTAGTTCTTTGGGCTGTTTCGATATTTCTTGGACTACTATACGCTGGTGAGCGATTTCTTGAGGCTTAAGGCCTCATATAATTTTCTTCATTTAAATACAGTGTGCGTTATGTTAATAAGGTACAATTATTTGCCTCAGTGATGTCCATAATGATGTCCTTGATGATGGGCAAACAGCCGAAAACGTTTGGTGTAAACATTTTAATAATTTTTTTCCTAATCTTTTAGCCTTGTATATAGAATATTTACCTCAAGATGGAAAACGTCTCATCGAAAGTTGGGCATAGTTTGAAATTTTTTCCGTTCAGAATGTAACAATCCATCTTCTCCCAACCATGAGACTAAGTTAACAGTGTGAAAGTTTTTCAACTTTTTCAAGAACTTCTTCTATTGTGGCTTAATTTACCAAGTGTGAATCGTGCCATCTCGACATAACTGACATTGATCGCGACATTGACCCAATGCATTTTCCATGATTTTAAAATCGATCTTTTTTCCTTGTACACATATGCACACTGTACTGATACTCACTCATATATTTTGTTCTATTTGTCAGCAAATGGAGATAAGGTCGCACAGAAAATTTACGAGCCAATATCTGGGGTGAATCCTTGTGTGCTGCTGACAAATGCAACACATCAAATTGGGTGCACTTGTAAGTTATTGTTATGACTTATATACTTATTGACCGGTTGGTTGGGCAGGGAGAGAAAATAGAGCACATAAGATCATGTGATATGGATAGAGTACAATGAGTTCCATACAACCTTGACCTCTTGCCTTACTTGTTCTCTTCTAAGGAAGAGAGTTCTCCAGAGGATAAAAGAAGGGGTAGAAAGCTATCCCATCCCCTCCCCACCCCCACATGTAGGACACAAGTCATGTGACCATGTTAAAAATATGCTTTGACTTAGGGTAGAGTGGAAAAAGGACAAATAAAATGTTGAACAACTCCAGTTGGTCTTTGAATTAGAATTATAGTATTTGTCTTTAGCAAGCCAACCTAACCATTAGCTTGCTGTAAACAAGTGAGGGCACAAGCTTCTTTTCTACTAGCATCTATTCCCCTTACTTTTTGTTTCGTCGTAGTTATAGTCAAGTTTTCTTGGTATATGAAAATTGCAGCAAAGGTTAATTCTTTTTTTTCAGATCTGAACAGGTGATTTGAAACGTCTTGTCTTATTATAGTAGCCATAGCTTTAGAAATAATTAGCTGGTGAAGTGCTTCTTAATACCACAATGAAAAACTGAAAAAAAAAGTTAGCTGGTGAAGTGCTTCTTAATACCACAATGAGAAAATGAATTATTTTTTCAACAGCTAGTATGAGTGGGCATGTTGGAATCCTTCACTATATCAAAAGCAAAGCTGATGTTGATTGGATAATACAAAATGGAAGCCATGCACCATATGTTCCATTGTTCAGATCTGACTTGTTTACACTGTAAGTATGATCATGTCGAGTTCATCAGAAACTCCATGTTTTGGTACAGTCCCTAGTTTAATTGAGGCTTACTAACTATATTATTTTATTGTTATATAACAAAGGGTTTTACTGACACCAAGGATATTCCTGTGGGAACAAGATCATCCGTATATTTTTTATCCTTTGGTCCCCGAAGAGTGGCTAACATCTATTTTGTCCTTAAAGTGCCCATAATGTCTAAAAATGTTTTTCGCTCATCTAATTCTACATTTCACCAAATGAACTTGGGTGCAAAATTTTTTCGATTTGGGTAAAATGCGATTTTTTTACGAACTTTTTACAAAGTTCAAAATTCTATTTTCTTGCGGTTGACCCCTGCCGCTGATCACAAGAATAACTTGCTCAAAATGACCACGTTACTGATGTCTGTGACGTAGGTTCAGGAATCTCACTTGACCTTAAAATGCATATAAATACACTGGTCGAGTGCGGGTCGTTTACGATATTGTGAGCTTACGATATTGTGACCACTCTGAAGCAAATTCCCACTTGTTTTCAAGTCAGCTAAGTCACAACCTAAAATCACGTGTTCCTGAACCTACGTCACAACTCACTTTAAACCGAGGAAGACTGGTGCGAATGGTGGACCAAAATGGCGGCAAATTTGAATGTCTTTAAAAAATTATAAAAAAAATTGCGTTTTATCCAAATCGGAAATTTTTCTCGCAGAAGTTGATTTGGTGAAATGTAGAATTAGATGAGCGAAAAACATTTTTTGACATTATGGGCACTTTAAACATTACCCCTGAATCACACATTAAGGTCACAGGAATACAGGAAATGATCATCAGTGAAAGAAGCTCTTGTTTGTCAAAGAAATTCTCTTTGTCAGCATCTTAGGAAATGTATAGAGAACAGCATGGAGAAGATGCAGATGAATTTTAGGCTATAGAGGGTTTGTGGCAGCTATTGTCAGAGGATAGATATGCACAAACTGAGCTGACAACCATCATGCAAGAAACTTATACTTAGGGATGGCTGTGGTTGATGGTTGCCAAGGGAAGGGGCATTCAGAGCTTATAACTATGACCTATGAATCTTGTTGCCTCCATCCTGGCTTACTTGGCTATGGCAGTCAAACCCAGGTTAATGGGGTGATCTGTACCATGCATGGTGCATTCCACCTTTAAATTTTGCAAGGCAGGCACCAAGGTCATGCCAGACTGTCCCAATCCAACCTCCCTCTCCGTGTGATGAGTCCAGGACATCATTTATGATTTGTTTTCTTGTAGTATTTTTAGGTCATAAACTGTTCCTTTGCAGTGAAATGGTTGATCGTCTCATACAAAAGAAAAAAATAAATGGGGCTCTTGTCATAGCTGTTCCATCAGGGAAATACAGATATACTCCTCAAACAGGTATTTGTGTTTGGTGGGTCAGAGAGTGTTAACTTACCATTGGGATGTTAAATGGAGGGGGAGGGACCCATGATAGCAAAATTTTTGTGTTGTTCTTTTATATTATAATATGATAAAAGAGGATTGCTTAAGTTTTTCTTTACCGATTGTGTGATTGGACTAGAATGCTTGCAGCAATCTGGCTTAAAACTGAAACCAGTGGCAACCTGGTTACTTTACAGTTGTTTTCCCCTGCCTCAGGAAGTTTCCTTGTTTTTACTTTGGGTTCTTGGACACTTCGTGGTATATTTCCATTCTTCTGATTGCCTGTTGGGATTACTTTGGTGTTGGTTTTACACAAACATTGTACAACACTCAGATCAAAAAGGGCTTTAATGTACACATTCTAAGGGCCTACACCAGATGCTGTTATATTTGTGTCTTAAGCTACTTTTTCTGAGTACCACTAACTTATCAAAATAGTAATTATTGTAACTGTTACTTTACGATTGTTTATTTTTTGTTGTTTCTTTTTGGGATTACAGATTCCCCTGACTATGAATGTCCCAAAGATAATTTTGGTAAGTTGCTAGAACCACACACCTCATGTCAAGCATGTTAAATGGTCAAGAAAGTCTTGTCTCTTGCATACTTAAAGGTTTTGGGTCCATTGGGTTCAACCATTCCAAATGCAGCCTGCCACTTAATTTTGTTGATAGAAAGTGTCACTCTTAGCATCTATGTGAACAAGCCTAAAAAAGCCCACTGAAACAATGAGAGAAGTTGCTATTCATGATTTTACAACCATTTTAAACTGGTGTGCCACTGGTTGAAAAACTGGAGCTATCAAATTGACCTAATACATTTTTTTCCATATAAATGTGGAAACACATTACAGTCGAAAAGGGTTGATCCTGATAGTGTGTGACCTAAATTAATTATTTTCTGTTGTATCTTTTAGGAATCTACAGTGAAAGTACAAAATACAAAAACTGTAAGGCAGTGAAATGGAACCCACATGTAAGTATCCATTGACCCTTGGATGTTAGTGTTTATGATAAATTTCTTGTAATTTTAGCAAGGAGAACTTTGCATGAGAGTGTATTGATATTGAAAGAGAAAGTACTCATTAATGAATCCAAGGATTGGAAGCATAATATTTTCAATAGTGTTTGAGTTAAATACAAAGCACCCTTATTCACCAAATGGTCGTCGTACTCAATTGAGATCAAGCTGTTTGTGGTATCAAGCTAATTGCCATCTTGTTTTCATTGGACAGTGGAACGTGTTTCAGCATCTGGATGCGATAGCATTCTGTTAACATGTTTGTTATGTTGGATTACATCATCATTCCAAGACATGTGCATAAGTTTGTTAGTTGTCAACCACGTAGTACTTTTCCACTGCCCAGAAAGGCATAAGTTTTGGTATATTTTGCATTTTTCTCCATCTTTTTTAGTTATTCTGACAGTTAATTAAACTTGTCCAAGCCTCTTAGTCTTCAGTTTTACAAGCAATTTGCACCCATGCCAACACAGAACTTTTGTAATTGCAAGTAGTTAGCACACGCAGGCTCAGACACTTAATTTGAAAGCTGGCTAGTGAATTGTGTGTAGAATTATGGTATTTTAGAGGAGCATAGTCATATCTTGAGAATTTTGTTTAAGCGCATGCTAGTCAGTCTTACCAAGTTCTCATTTTGTTGGTGCTTTATACCAATTATTTTTCAAAGTAACCACTTGGTAAAAGTTTTATCAACACTTTGCCTAATGTCTTCTGATGATTTGTTCTTTGCAGGGAACCAGAATGTCATTCAAGTACTTTGATATCCCCATGTTTGCTTTGAATGACGAGGCTGAAGTGGATTATTTACTCAAGGTATCAACTGGCATGTGGACCAACCTTATTGTCAAACTTTATTTCTCTTTATTGTTCTCTTTTCATTTTTGTGTGGAACATCTTTTAGGAGTGTTTGCTTGAGGTCTGAGCAATTTCTCTCTGGTGGTGTATTCCTTGATTCTCTTGAGCCAATAATGTGCTGATGATTTTGAGAGAAATTTATTCCACTCAATTAGGATTGTGGTAACACAATCTTGTAGTTTGGTGAAGTAAATGAACTTTGGCTTATGAAAGTTAGTGGTCGTGTAGATCTAAATTTGTCATTTGTAATTTGTTTATCCTCTTGATCCTTCACCAATCTTGTTCGATTGTAGTCTATTTATTGCCACACTGGTGTCTGTCTTCTGTGGTAAAGTGTTTGTTTGGTTCAATCTGAAACAATTCCCCATCATTCACCCTCCAACCTCACCGCGAAAAAACTGTAAACCTGATATTCTAAAAACCTCTTATTACAGTGTTATAAGAAGCACAATAAACAGGAACACCCTGATTACCCTTTGTGTGCTGTAGAGCTGAAGGATTTCATGTATGCTGCCAAAGACACTCCAACCTGTGTGAGGAAAAGTAATATACCAAACCCTATTGGGGGTAAGTTATTTTGAATGTTTGTGTAATATCAAAGATACTGTGGTATTACATAATACAAGCATTTTGATTGGTTCTTAAGTAAAGTCTGTTTATGAGCCAAGTGGCCCATCAGGCCAGCAGTTAACCCCAGTTTCTGTAGTATGAAGCAACTAGGAGTATTTCTACTCCCTCCTGGATGGGATGCTAGTCTCACAGGGTTTCCCCCCTGGATTTAATTCACCAATACCCATTTCTACTCTTGGGTGGAGAGAAGCACTGTAAGAGTAAAGTGTCTTGCCTAAGAACACAACACAATGTCCCTGGCCAGGGCTTGAACCCAGGCCACTCAATCCAGAGTCAAGTGCACTAACCATGAGGCTACTACACCTCCTGATTGCTTCTTACTTATGATCTATTGGACGACAGACACTGAGATGACATCACCATCAACAACCTTTTGCTTCTTGAATATAATTATCAATATAAAGAAAAAATATTGCATGTTGCAGTGCATCTGTTCAGTAATACATCACAGATAAAAAGCAAAATACGGTAAGAGCTTAAGTGACACATTCTGCTGCACCTCGTGCACCACTTTTTTGTTCCTACCAGGTTTTGACGTCATCTGTGACCTTTTACCGAACAGAGGCACAGAAATGTGGAATCTCATGTTATATTGATCATTTGATAACAAGCGGGAAGAGATCTGGTTGGGTCATATTGTAAACTTGTGTTCTTTGGCAACATGCTTTACTCTGACAAGGCGTATTGAAAAATGCGGTAAAAAATTGTCATGTTGATTTGTTGGAAATAACTGAAAAATTAACTTCTGCATGCATAAGTACGACATAGGTCATAATGGTTTGCGTTTTTTTTTTAGCCAACTTTTGTCTTCCTCTTGGAGACATGAATGTTTGGGGTACTCTTTATCCAATAAAGAAGGGAAAAAAAGTGGTGATGCTAGCTACTAAGGTAAATGAGATGTGGAATACTAAATTAATAAGCATATGATGCACAATCCTCGCAGTAGATAACGCTATTTATGCAATAGCGAAAATCAGACCTGAAAAAAATCAGGCCTGTACGGGACTCGAACCACTGACCTGTGCGATACTAGTGCAGCGCTCTACCCATTGGGCTAACAAG